TGTGGAAATCAGAAGCAACAATTTTTGTATGGTTATTTCAAATGACTCTATTTTGTGCTTAGCAAACACCAGTTCCCCGAGAGCATGGGCTCACAGTTGCCACTACTTTGTGCTCAGTGAGAGGTTGGCTCCTGGATTCAAACAGGTGTTAACAACCAGAGCTTCAACCTCTCCTTTGAGCCAGAGTTCTGATCTTTGAATAGCAGCATTTGTTTGATGTTCTGAGAACTGTCATTAGTAGCTAGACAAAAAAAAAAAAAAAAAAAAGGAAACACTGATGAAGCAATTCTAGTTTTAGATGAGAAAATGCTATGAAAATAGAGAAAAGATTAAAGAGGGAGAAGGAAGGTCTTGACAGTTAATCTGGAAATGAATCAAGGGCCTTAAAGCTTCGGCAAGACTCTGCTCTCGCAAATAGCAGCAATTTCTGCTGTGTGTCTGGCACTGTGCTCAGAATTTTGCCAATATTTGGTTCCTTCACCTTTATAATAATTCACTAGTTTACACATTAAGAAATTGGAGCAAACAGCATGAACTAATTAACCAGGGCCATGAGAGCAGCCCTTGGAAGATGCACAGGCTGGTAAGCTTGTTGCATCCTCAGCTGGCCTTTGTCCTCCCCTTCCCCCACCTTCTCTTCACATCCACTCTCCTGTCTCCCTGTCCTTTCTCCTCGCCTCCATCTCCCCTTCACACTCTTATCCTTTTTCTCTTGTCTTTCCTCTCTCAGTTCCTCTCTTTCTCTCTTCCCCCTCTCTCCCTCTCTCCTCCGCACCCTTTGCCTCCCCCTCTCTATATCTTTTTCCCCCTTTCTTCTCTCCTACCTCCCTCACTTCTCTATCCTCTTTCCTCTCCTCCCCTTTCTCTTACTCTTCCTTCCTCTCCTCTCCCTCCTCTTCTTTCCTCCCCAGTCACCCAATCCCCTCTCCCTTTCCTATGCTCTCCCTCACCCCTCCCATCATTCATCCAACACGCCCAGACCACTGAAGATAATGCATTCTTTTTTCTGCAGTAAGATGCTCGACCCTTAGTCATATCCATATAAGACTCAAACTTCCCCCCCCCAGATCACAAGATATCTCCAGCACATGACACAGAATGAATTACTTTTGTTCTCTTTGTTTGGAGAAAGCTAAGTTTGTGGACAGCCACTCAGTAGCTTTATTGTTTCATGTTAGCCTCGTTATCTGACAGGGTTAATTAAGACTGTCTAATAATTAACTCAAGCAGGAAGCATACACAAAGACAATGCAAAAATGGGCTGAAGACTTTCGTTCATAAACTACAACTGCTCAGCCAAGCAGTTTCTGTTGATAATATGTACTTCTTAAAACATACTACTCTTTACACTAAAAAGAAAATAAAATGCTTGTGAGAAATTTCAATTTTTGTCTTTAAACAACTTCTAACCTCAAATTCTCCTTTGTCTTGGCTCCTCAGTGAAATAAATACATTTTTCTCTAAAATATTCTTTGCTAACAAGTCTGATGTCTTTATTAGACAGATATACATATAATATACACATGCAGTATATACATATAAAACACAATAATATAAAATAATATAAAACACACATATAATGGGGCATTGTATGTGTGTGTGCACTATTACATATTGTGCTGCAGGAGATACACAATACAAAATATTTATCACTGCTAGTAATAATATGGAAAGACATTTTGGGTGTAAATGAAAGAAAATCCCATTATTGGCTATATGCTGCTTATTTTCCTTCTATATTTTCATAGAAAAAATTTACTCATTTAAATACTGATTCACAATTAATTTGTTGGGCAATTGTCATAAAACCCTAGTGACATCTATTAAAAAGCAATATTCATCTGTTGTCAGATATTTGATTACATTGTGAACCCTGAGATTGTGTTATTTACTGAGAAAAAAAAAACCCTGTTTTCAGTTGTGGTGTGGTTCAGGCAATTGCACACACCTTTAATCTCTCTGGCTGGAACACAGACACACCCATAGTACACACATTTAATCCCAAACAATGAAGGCAAACTTCATTTGAAGAAGGAAGCACTCATATTTGAAAGTGACATCGAATTGAGTGGCAGACAAAGTGATGAATCAGAGGAAGATTTGACAGAATAGGAAATGCCCAACTCTCATCAGTTGAGAGAGGAAAGGGAAGCTACTTAAGAGACCAGTGCACTTCATAGTCCTTCCTGTCTTCCTGCTATGTTCAACTGTACATCCTTTCAAACAGTGAGCCAAAGTATATCCTTCCTCCTTAATTTGTCTAATGCATTTGATCAGAGCAACAAGGAACTTCAGAATACTGCTACTAAGAAGAGAGCTGCTGTGATAAACCTGGTCATGAGCTTCACGGGCCTTGGCAACCAGCTTTGGGGAGGAAGAGTGTTGAGCTCCAGACTGGGGGAAAAAAGACAACAACCCTAGAATGTTAAAAAAAAAAAAAAAAAAGGAAAACAACAGCAACAAAAACAGCACCTATTCCCATTGTTTTTGCAGTCAGGTCTCAGGGAGGAATGAATGTTGGTGCTCAGCTGGCTTTTTCCACTTTATTTATTCAGTCTGGGATCCTGTGAAGAGATGTTGCCCATCTTCAGGATAAGTCTCATTGAGTTCAGCCTCTCTGGAGTTGCTCTCACATATATGTTCAGAGGTGCATCTCCTGGGTAATTCTAGATCCACTTAAGTTGATAGTAAAGATTAACTGTCATTAATTAATGACATGAATATCAGACTGGAGGTCCCTGAAGTTTGCTCTCATGGAATAAACTACCTGGATAATATCACTGGTAAGCCTTGGTTAGCAGCCAGAGGCAATAAGTCAAGGAGATGACTAGTCTATCAGGCAAATACAAGATACATTTACACTCATCACCTGACACTTATTAATGTGACTGAATTTTCACAGATGTGGTAAATGCTTCCAACTCTCCATTTCCAATATAATCTATTCTCTCAACATTATGAACTAGGGACATTTGTACAGTTAGAGCCAACTAGCCAATTTAGCTACCCACCCACTTCCTGACCAACAAATAAGACCAATTGCAATGGAGTAAAGCATGGTGATGATGATAGCTAATATTTATCAAAACATTTCTTTCAGGCATTATTCAAGAGCTTTACATATACAGTATCATTACTGGTTTCACCTGCTGCCTTAATTTATCAATGATGTTGTGATAAACTATCCTCACAAAAGCAATTTGGGAGAGACAGGGTTTATTTTAGGTAAAAATTCCAGGTTACAGTCCATCTCTGAGAGGAAGGCAGAGTACCAGGAGTTCAAGGTAGCCTCTGCCATCACATCCACACTCCAGAGCAGAGATGAAATCAATGTAGGCATGCCTTACAGATACTCTGTCCATTTTTTCCACTCTTATGAAATCTAGGAGCCCAAAATTAGAGAATAGTACCACCATATCAATTGATGATCTTCCAGAGGTAAATTAATCTAGAAAATTTCTCATAGAGACGCCTCCTCCCCCAGGCAATCATAGGTGTGTCAAGTTGCTGATCAAAACAAACAATCACACTCACTGTAAAATGAAAGTTGTTATTAGTGCCATTCCACAGAGAATAATGTGGAAACTTAACAGACAGGATCTTCTTGGCTCAAGATCACATTGCTAGTACATAGAAATAAAATTCAAATTCAGGAAGTTCTTTCTTCAGTCTCTTCACTTTAGTAACATTGACAGCAAAGGCTATCCAAACCTTCTGGGGAAGTCTTCATAAGGGCTACTACCTGTTAATAGCAGCATCCCAGCTTTGCCCTCTGAAGTCCAGCAGCCACTTCTGTCCCCACTTCATTTCCCTCGTAGTTTCCAGTCTGTGTCAAAGTCCTCCAGGAGGCTGAATCATGATCCCAGCCCATTTGGAAACAACTGTCCTCTCTGTCATGCAGATCACTCAACATTACTCCATTAAACAAGATTCATAAAAATAAAAAACTTTAATGACTAATATACTTTATTAAATAGTAATTTAATGCACACCTCTATACTAATGTTGATTATTTTATCAAAAAATATATCTGAGAGCTGAAAATAATGAAGCTCTTGGAAATCTGCCTCTGGTATAGGTAGTCACAAAGTTAACCTTTATCCCATACAGGTATGAGCGGAAGGGGATTTAAGGTACAAGAAGATCCTCCATTCTTTCAATTGTATTGTCACGTTTTACCCAGCCTATTTCAGAAGACAAAATAAAGGAAACTTGTATCAGTTATGAATTTCTACTGTGGAATTTTATTCAGTTAATGTTTCTGTTCTCTTTTTAAAAAAGAAAACTATTCTGTGGAAGACAGAGAGGAAAGATTGTAGGAGACAGAGGGAATGGAGGACCCCAGGAGAACACGACCCACAGAATCAGCTAAGCAGGGCTCACATGGGCTCACAGAAGGGGCAAGCACAGGGTCTACATGGGTCTGCAGCAGGTTTTCTGCATATATGTTGTGGTTGTTAGCTTCGTGGGTTTGTGGAACTCAACAATGGGAGTGGGTGACTCGCTGATTCTACTGCCTACTCTTAGGACTCTTTTCATCCTACTGGGTTGCCTGTCCGTACTGGATCTGAGGCCTTTTGCCTTGTCTTAATGTATCTTCTTTTTTGTATGTTTCCTGTTGTCTCTTGAAGACCTGCCCTTTTCTGAAGGGATAATGAGAGTGTTTGGGAAAAAGGATCTGTGGGGAGGAACTAGGGGGAATGAGAGAGAGAAAATTGTTATTGGGATGTATTGTATGAGAGGAGAATCTATTTTCAATAAAAAAGAAAAGAAAAAACCTATATCTAAATATATATTTAAAGCATGTATTTTGCTATTTTAACTTACAGCATCATACTTTAGCAAAAACATAAAAATTAAGATCAGCATTCTGATGAAATTGTTGTAGCAACAATTTGCATACACACACACAAAAGCTGAGAGAATAAAAAACAGTCTAAGAAAAAGAGCACAATACCTTGTGCAATCCACATTAAAACAAGGTGCACACATACACCAAGTTAAGGAATATAGTGAGATTTATTCAATACACATGTTTCATATGAGCAAGTTTGTCACAATTTTTTTATATTATGTGGGTCCATATGATAAACTACAGCACATACAGACTGGATGCTAAATACATTAGACAAAACCATTCTAGAGATATTTAAGTTGTTACAACTTTTACAATATTTCCAGATCTCTCCTAATATTTTGTGGGAAATATGGTGCAATTTTAATTAAAAATAAGCACATATTATAAGTATGATTTTTACTACTAATTCCCTCTCACCAAAAAAATATAATTTCCTACAAATTCTACAAAGTATTAAGTTAATAGGTTTTGGTCTATACATACCAAGAAAAATGTTCTAGCTCGCTAAGACAGAATTAAACATATATCTAAGTAAATCCCAAAATAGTGAATTTTGTTGGAGTATGAACAATGTGTCCTTCCTTGGGTTCAATTTGAAGGTAATACCTTTTAATAACCTATTTCGGTATCATGGCTGCAGTTTAAGTACGGAGTATCACAACAAAACACACACACACACACACACACACACGCACACGCACACACGCACATCACCATGGGTTACCATGGTTACCACCTGATCAAACACCCCAGGAATGCATAGCTGCTATGTCTCTCAATACCCATAAAATCAACAACACCCTTGATAAATTCTAAGCCTTTCATTTTTCTTCATTTAGGGGCTTTTTCGGTTGGCCTTGGTCTTTCTCTTCATTCTTCATTTTTGCATCTGCAAAAATAAAATATTTCTCAATCATATGCAAAATATGTAGAAATACATTGTATGTTTCAAATGGAAGTTATTTTCCACTTTGCCTCCTGATGGAGTTTTCATCCTGACTAGATAATATTTTGCCCTCAACATGGATATGAATCTGCATAGAGAGGAAATATTTGAGTCCTTTATAAGTCTTTCTCCTAGTCAACCTTCCTCAGGATCTTGGGCCTGCATGCCAGGCTGACTCTTAAGATGTCACTATATCCTCCATCAACAGTAGTGTTTCTCAACCTATGGGTCACATCTCAGATATCTGCATATCAGCTATTTACATTACAATTCATAGCAACAGCAAAATTACAGTCAGGAAGTAGCCATAAAATAATTCTATGATTGGGGCAGTCACCACAACATGAGAACTCTACTAAGAGGTCACAGCAGTGAAGAAGGTTGAGAACCACTGATCTACAGGGTGGCCAACTAAAGTAAAATCAGATTAAATGACCTGTGGGAAAATCACAACTTGAACCTTCATTAAGTGGCTACATGGGACCTCAATCATTCCCCTATTCTGGGCTATACTTTCTCTGTATTCTTTAGATTTCCTATTTCCTTTACTTCTTGGGGATACCCTTACATTCTGCCCTTCAGGAAAAATAAAATCAATCCCATCTCACCTTCCTTTAACCAAATGCCTAAGTTCTCCTGTTATCCAGACTTATTATTTCTGACCCCTCCCGTAACAATGGAAGATGTGCTCTCAGGAATGATTACAGAATGTGTTGGCATTTATTGGAAGATGAAAATGTAGCGACTGTACTGATAAACTGTGAAGAAAAAGTATTAAGCGAGTATAACTCTACATGACTGCAGGTTCCTGTTCATTACCATAGAAACTTTTGCTGATGGTCCTACTAACACTCTTACTTCCAAAGTCTAATGCCCTCATGGAACCAACTCCTGTCAGTTTCAGACCCAACAAAAGGCTGACAATTCCAGCCACAATTCCCTCTTTATTTGACCAACCTTCCCGGTTTTCTTGCATCTTCATTTTAAATCACTACCATCTTTAAACACTCCTCCCCATAGGATCTCACTACGTAGATCAGAGTAGGCTCAAACTCACAGAGATTTATCTGCCTCTGCCTTCCGAGTGATTGGATTGAATATATGCAGCTCCGCTGCAATACAGTTTTTTTTCTCTTTTATCCTTTGCAATGTTCCATATTTGGTTGTTTTCATTTAAATGAAATTATTTAAATCTCAACTATTCCCTCAAACTTTCCCCTAACAAAACCATCTTTAGCATCTTTGAAGAGAAATTGATATTTAGTACTTTGCACTTGTCGGTTGTCTATTAACCAACTGTGGCTATCTAACGAGCTTCGGGCCAGCTTGGACTATAATGTGAGACCTCTACTTAAAAACAATTTACTAAGCTAAGCACATGAAGCAGTTCTCAGGTAACATTCAGTTACAAGAATGACAATAAACAAAATATGTAGAGTGTATCATTTTTAAGAAGTGAAAGGGGTTCGTGAGTTTATTAAATCAAGAGAAGAAAATAGGGATGGGTAAGCTGTCTCTAGGCCTGGACTTCACAAACTGATACAGAGTTGGCTGGAAATAGCATCTAAAAAGGAGGGATTTTAGTAAAACTCTGCAAAGTGTGCACAGTTTGTATCACACAGAGAAAGGAAATTAAATAAGACAACAACAGTAAAGTCCAAGGCAGCAATATGTGACACGGACAAGAGAAAGAAAAGGAAAAGCATGAGATGGAGCACCAGGACCATGAGTAACGGGTAGAAAAATGGAGGATGTGTGGGCCAGTTCTGAAAGCACAGCTAGAGCATTCACTAAAGGATGAGAGGAAGAATGTGTAAAATCAGAGGGAAATAGGGATGAGCCAACATTTCTGGTTTCAGAAACTGGAGCTGTGAAATAGCTACTCGAAGAGATTGAGAAAACACAGGAAGAATGGGGTTTAGAAGGAAAAATCCAAAGATTGTTGTTGTTGTTTTTTTCTATCTGTAACCATTTTATTTTCAATTAAATAAAAACTTTAACAAGAAAACCAAACCTGGTACAAAACATCACTGTCACATGACAAGATCCCAGCCCAGGGAACCGTCACGGCTCACCTCCTCTCTGTCACTCTAATGTTCTTTATTATTCAGCATCTCTTGCTTATTTTATAATGAGCTTCTCAGTACAGAATGCTTCTTACCTGTTGCTAGGTGAATACCATTTGATTTGTGGTGGTCATCACAAAGCTGAGGAAAATGTTGATCCTAGAGTTAGTTTCATAAGTAGGAGATGGACGTGTTTTGGTGTGTTGCGAGAGCGAATCTCTGAAGTATCAATATTTCAACTATTACTGTTACTTAGCTACTTTAAATATTTATGGCAATAATTTTTTTAAATAATTTATTTTTTCTCAAATCGTAATTCATTCACACAGGGGTTATAAACACAGAAAGGCAGGATGTGAGGAAGGGAATGACACTGGAGTGTGGATGTTCAGTGGGAATACAGACATCTTTCAGAGCTGTGTATCGGCTAAGTGAAGGTTCAGGGGACAAGTCGCTATGACTCTGCCTATGACTCCCTTGTCCTTATCAAAGTTGGTATTGTCTGCCAAGGCTACCTATTTACAAGGTCTATGACTACTCAGGCTTGTAAATTTCCACAAAAGCTGCCTGTTTACATTAGCTTATAGTCATCTGTTTCAATGTTTTTCCACTGAGACCCAAGACTTGGTGTTAGTATACATGTATGACAGACCTATTGCTGATTTTAGGCCTATGGCTGATTTTAGGCCTTCAATGTGTAAGCAGGGCTGCCCCTGACATCTCCTTCCTTCTCTAAGTATAGAAGGGCTGTGGCAATTCTAATCTTGTGAAGGCGGGCCAAAGATTGTTTTTATGCCTGCTAAATTTGATAATACTGTTCCAGACCCTAGCAGTGATGTCATCCAGATAGTTCATTCCATAAAAGCAAACTTCAGGGACCTCCAGTCTGATATTCATGTCATTAATTAATGACAGTTAATCTTCACTATCAACTTAAGTAGATTCAGAATTACTCAGGAGGTATACCTCTGAACATATATGTGAGAGCAACTCCAAAGAGGCTGAACTCAATGAGACTTATCCTGAAGACAGGCAACATCTCTTCACAGGATCCCAGATTGAATAAAAAAGTAAAGTGGAAAAAGCCAGCTGAGCACCAATATTCATTCCTCCCTGAATCCTGACTGCAAAGACAACAGGAGCAGGCACCTCACCATCCTTCTTGACTTCCTGCTATGCTCAACTGTACATCCTTTCAAACAGTGAGCCAAAGTATATCCTTCCTCCTTAATTTGATTGTCTAATGCATTTGGTCAGAGCAACAAGGAACTTCAGAATACTGCTACTAAGAAGAGAGCTGCTGTGATAAACCTGGTCATGAGCTTCACAGGCCTTGGCAACCAGCTTTGGGGAGGAAGAGTGTTGAGCTCCAGACTGGGAAAAAAAAACCTAGAAGTAGCCATAATATTGTTCCAGTTTTTTTTTTCATTTTATCTCATTTTTTAAACTTTCATTTTATACAGATATATTTTCCCTGCTCCTTTTTACCCTACATGTCCTTTGCATATATATTATGGTTTCCAGTTTAGTGTTTTTATGAGATTCCCAAGGGCATGAATAAGTGAGTTTATGCTTCTTTGTTTATTTCTTGTGCCTTTTCTTGGGCTCTTTTCCTGTTTCCTTATTTTGTCCTATTCCAACATGTTAGCTTCGGTTTTATCTTATTGTATTTTATTTTATTATTATCCCTTAGAAACTTGTTTGTTTTCTAATGGAAGACAGAAAGGGAGTGGATCCAAATGGGAATGGGAGATGGGGAGGAACATGGAGAAGTAGAGAGAGGAAAGTGTAATGAGGATATATTATGTGAGAGAAAAATCTATTTTCAACAAAAAACATTCCTTCCTTCCTATGATTTTGTCAGTCTGTTGGTCATTGCAACAAGAACAGTAACTCATACAAGTTACTCAGTAACTCATAAATCTTGGTATCAGTATGATAGAAACTATCCAAGGAGATCAGATAGCATTTGAAGCAAAGAAGCATTGACCAACCTGCCCAGAGACTATGCTTTGTGCATTCTATTCTATTAAGTGATTAAAGAGAGGAGCAGAAAGAAACCCAGAGTGGAAAAGTCAATGAGGAAGAAAGAAAAGCAAGAAACCAAAGTGTCCAGGGAATGTAAGGAGGAAAACTGTCTAAAGGAAGAAGTAATAACCAGTCATGCTAAACACTCTGAAAGATTATGCTAGGAAAGGGCAAGAATTGACCAACAATTATAGCAAAGACAATGGCCCAGACATATGTGTGATAGGATGACATATTACTAGGGCTAGAAGAAGAATGGAGAAAAGAAAATTAGTAGTCAAAAAAAGCAACACATTCTCAGGGTACTTTTCTATGAAACAAAAGCAGAAATGCAAGTATCTGCTACAAGAAGACTTGGGTCATGAAAGCATCTGGGTCCTGGTCACAGCCGGTTTCTTTTTTGGAAGAACATGGTAGGCATTTCATGAATGCTCATGGGTAGAACTTCAGAAACTATGTTTGGAGGAAAAGAGTATCCATGATGTTGTGCAGCATGAAATACAAGGCACTAAGTTAGTCCTGCAATCATTTTGTCATCGCTAGTTCTGAGCTAACCACCCACAAAACATCCTTCTGGGAAAAGCTATTAGAACTGGTGATGATTTCATTCTAGACAATATTGGCTTCTTCTGTAAGCAGAAGAAGAAGCAAATGATTCTGTAAATTATATTCTTAGTCATGGTTGATCCAAAGAGATAGTGATATGAAGGCTTCTTAATTATCCTTCTCAAAATCCAACTAGAAACTCCTAAGAGACAAGACAAACAGGATAGCACCTATTGAGAATTACTGATGAGACTATGAACAGCGTTCACCCCATTGGAGGAGCTACTGGCAATGGATGGCTAC